TCAAGAGAAATGACTTGAAGACCTGGTTCAGAAGAGTGACACTTTGACCTGACTCTCAAAAGGCTTCAATTAAAGCAAATCTTCTCAAAAAGACTTGTATTAAAGACCTTGTTTAGAAGTTATGAAGTGAAGACTTATGTAGAAGGTACCTCATCTGTAAAAAAATGACAAGACTAGAAAAAGCAAGGTACAATGATGTCAACATATATTTAAAAAGAAGGGGGGATATAATTACACCGGTGTAACTTTTACTAAGTATTACACAACTCAATAACTTTATATTAAATGTGAATTTTGTAAATTCAATCGTTAGATTGAAAGTTCATATCTCTTAGATCATATATACAAAATTTTATATTAACCCAAGATGATTTGATACTTCATTTTTATAAAACAAAATTGACGTAATATATTCATTTCAAAATACACTAAAATATGAACACTTTGATTACCTTTAAGTTATTGTTCAATTTTAAAAAAATTTTGATATAAACCTATAAAGTGATATGAATTTTCAATATAACGGTTGGATTTACAAAATTCATAATTAATATAAAGTTATTGAGCAGTGTAATACTTAATAAAAGTTATACCAGTATAATTATAATCCTCTCATTTAAAAAATATGAATGATATAAAAAAAAATTAACATTAGACATTGAGATTGATAATGCTGAGAATGGTAGCTAGATTATCAACATCGTTAAGGATAGTGGCCAGATGCCACTATTTACAAGGAAAATTATATGACATGTGAAAGATAGTAAGGGTTATATTCCTTTTTACTAAGGATAAAGAAAGAATTTAATTAAATAGTTAGGGTAAAAAATGAGAAAATAATAAGTTGTAAGCTAAGTTCAAATGCTACTTGAAAATGTTTTGTTTTCTTGTTTCAAAATATTTCCCAATTCACTAGATCAGAGATTAATCCTACTTGTGGTATTGTGGCTATCATTGGATTGAAGATTTTTTGCACGATAAAGATCGAATATGAGATTTTTCACTAAATAGATCGCCCCCACAATATATGATCGAAATATGCTTAACTACTATATCAATCCTTTGGATTAAAAGAATCAACTATAAATTAGTATAAAATGCTAGCTACAAGTTAGTAAAAATTGTTATATGTTGACGACATTGTTAGTAAAAATTGTTATGTGTTGATGAGATTAATCACAACAAGGGTATTTGGATTGACTTCGTGATAAAAAATGATTAATTATTTTTTTTTGGTAAAAACAAAATAACAAATAGATACTTTTATTTTTTTCATGATACCTTTGTGATTTTGAAGGATAGACTTGATTCTTCCATAATATTCAAACACACTAAATGACAGAGGTATTGACATTTGATTTCTTACTAATTTTGCAATATATATATATATTAATTATATTTGTTCATATAATTTGAAGAAAGATTAAGACAAATATAATAAAAATAATTTATAATTTTTTTTAATAAATTGACTAGTCAACTCAACCCGACTCGCCAACCCATCATGGATTAATATTTATAACCAAATGAAAAAATTAATCCAATCCAATTCAACTCATTTTTTCAGCGAATTGAATCAAGTTAAATTGTCTTATTTAACACCTCTAATAAAGATAAGAGTGTAAAAGAATTGTGATCGACCAACAAACATGATTAACTTGATCCAATCCAATTACAATTTTAGTGGGTTGGGTAAAGATATCGTGAGTTGTACACTTTTTTACCTACCCAATTATAATTAGAATTGTTATTGATAGATGAGACATGTATTAGAACTTGAACTAAATGTGTACTATTTTTTCTCCAAAATTTATAATATATAATTATTATAATTAATCAACCTGATAATTCGATTGACCCAATTTAATCCAACACAATCTTATTACTTTTTATTGTGTTAGGTCTTAAAATAAGTCAAATTCAACCTAACTCAACCCACCTATACCTTTAAATAAAAAAATTATAAAATTATAAAATAAAAATAACAAAATAAATAATTTCATTAAACGATTCATTCTCTCACATTATGTAAAGGAATTTTCTCACTTAACATATTCTCTCACATTATGTAAAGGAATTTTCTCATTTAACATGTCACAAGCGTCCACACTCACGACATGCACACAATAATTATTAATTAACTGATGATCACATTATTAAATCTGCAATCCTTTTTCTAAAATATCATCGGAAAAATGATTTGAAAAGACTACGCATTACTTTCCACACTAAAATCTTGTACATAAATTAGAATATATAAAAACACTTATGTTGGAATAATCCAATTCTATAAACATTACTTCGTTTGAAAGAAGGAACTGACAGGCGACCATCCTTAGAAGGATCAAGACAACATTAATGTGATAATTGTCAAAAAGTCTCACTAAACAACTCTACCAAATTAACGTTCACATATTCATGACGTGCCTTAAAATTAAAGTAGCTTAACAAACCAATTCAAATCTTATATATCTCTTATATTTTTCATCGAAAATAATCGTGTTTAAATAAGGTAGAATTATCATGATGTGATAAAATTCTTGTTCAGAGTACATACTCAATATTTGAACTTGTGAAGACCGAGACATTGATTAAACTAAAACAATCTTCATATTTGATATTTTGATTTCTTTATGATTCATCTTATTGTATATGATGGGTGAAGGTGAAGTGGTATTAGAGTGTGTGGGGTTTGCATTGCACGTGCACCTAGGTGCCATAGTGAGCCATGCAATCAAGTAGTCACTGATCCTATTTCAGATGGAAACAGTGGGACCCCTTTCACCTATAAAGGAAAAGGTGTTTCAACTTTGAACACTCACACCCTTTCACCAAAAAATCAAAAAGGAAACGTTGGTGGAGAAAAAAGTACCTATTCATAAATATTATTTTAGTAATCAATATTCAAAACATTGAACGGCTAACCATGTTATTTATGAATTATAATTGTGGGTTTCATTTCTTTATCTAGTCTAAAAAGCAGAGAATTATGTTACTTTAACAAATTTATGAGTTATGACTTCTTTTTTATATAAAGAAATTAGTTTTGCACTTATTATTTATAAACTTGTAATTTCTCTTCAGGAATCTGTAAATTTTTAGACAAAATTTACAAAATAAATTAAGAAAGTTTTACAAACTTAATAAAGTAGCATGATATTTTCATTTGACTTAATATCATTTTCGTCATTGTAAACATAAATATTTTAGTTTCAATTCCCATAATTTTTTGTTTTGCTTTTTCATCTATGCAATGTATAAATTTTCCATTTTATGCATTCCATCATAAAAATGCTTACATGCCTGTTATGTAAATATTTTTGTAAAAAGATGTTGTAACATGGTAACAGCAGGTGGAATTACTTATTGAATGCTTGAATATCAATGTAAAATTAAGTTTAATGAAAAAAATACGTGTTCTGGTGAAAATAAAATTGTGAGTGTAATTTTTTTTTAAACTCTAATTAAGTATAATTTAACTGATTTTCAAATACACTCTTAATATATTTTTGTAACGAAAGTACAATAATAGAAAAAAAAATTAAACATCATATGAAGAAGACAATTTTTTACAGAAACTAAAAAAAGGGGAAAAAAAAATCAAACACAGTTAATTTATGTCATTTCTAGAACTAAACACTAAAGTAAAGGATTCTATTATACCATTATTTGAGGTACACTTTACAACTGTACAATACATATCTAGCTTTATTTTCTTCATAAAATTGTATGTATGACAGTTAATTCTAGATGTGTGAGTTTCAGCTACGTTTAAAAAATACTATAAATGGAATCACTTCAGATTAAATGGAAATATGTGCAGACAGCCCTGACAGAAAACTTGCATGTAGATAGCATTATACTCCCATTTTGGTGATTAAGATTTGTCATTCCACTTTGAGGCTTGAAATAATCTCAGTTGGAGAACAAATTTTATATTAACAAGACATCAGTCCTTTGGCTTGGTGGGTTCTGCATGCAGCTCTGATATTCAAATCAAATTGCGAAAAAATAATAACCAATCGTTGGTCAAAGTAACACAACATTCATTCTTCTTAAATAATATTTGAAATTTGAGTATTGTAAATGAGAAAATGAAATTAAGAAGAATTTTTTTATTAAAGATGACCAATGAGATTGTAATATTTAATCATAGTTATAGTGAATAGATAGTTTACACGATTAAGTAGTTATAAGAAATATTGTAAGGAAAAATGAAAGTTCCTATAAAAACGGGAGTGAAATGGACATCACACACACCTTGTACTTCATGACACAGCAATGATGGTAAAAACTAAAAAGCCCTCACATAGGCTTGTTAGTTATGGGGGGTAGTTTGGGGATTTCCAAGTGGGGATTATTCAGAATAGTGTGAGAACAGCTTTTGCTTTTAAAAGTAGGCTGCTTTTGGCTAGTTTATTAGAGGAACTGTCTGATGAATGTGATTATTTGGAGACAAAATGAGTGATTGAGAATCAATAAAGCATAGCCAACTAAGATTAGCATGACCAAAGAAAATAGTGAGAGAAAATGGGAGACATAATTGACACAACAAAGATCTCACAAGGAGGAGGAGCCAATGCATCACCAATCTCAACCTCAATCCCTTGGGATTCTAACTTTTTCTCATAATAATTGAATAAAACGAAAGAAAGTGGAGTTCGGTACTTAAAAGATAATGAATGGCATACCTCAGGGACAGGGAATGTTTTTGGATTCTAATTTTCTACAGAGCTTAACAAATCAAAGTGATCCACTTTGTGTTGTTACTTATTTCTCTCTCTCATAGTTGATGGCAGCTAAACTCACTGACCCACTTAGTTAATTTTCTGATTAAGCTCCATTGAGCCAAACATTCACAGTGCTTAACAGATAATACTTCACTTGCTCCTACTTTCTTTTTGTTTTTTTTTTTCCTTGTTATATTATTATTATTATTATTAAATTTGAAGGAATAGAATAATACTCCTGTTCTTTAGACCAATACATGATTGAAGGAATTTTCTTTTTCAATCATCTTTTGCATTTATCTAGAAAGAGGCTAATGGAGGGGTGCCTCATGGCTTTTATTATATATTCTTTGCTTTGCTTTCTTTGTTGAACCATCAGCAGGCATGCTGGTTCTCTTTTAAGTCTTTTAACCATTGGCTCTGATTCAAGTCAGACACAAGGGTGGGAGTGAGTGCAATTCTGGCCTCAAAGCAGTGGGAATGGCACTGTTGGACTTGGTTTCTCTTCTGATGTCAAACATGACATGTAACAAAAACAAACCAAGTTGTAGTTGGTGGTGAATAGCTGAATCATTCAAAACCGGCTCCTTACTTGCCTCCTCCTTAAAACTTGATCCAGTTTTGCTGTGGTAATAAGTTTCTAGTGATCCTTTGAAATGGAGAGAAGAGGGGATGTGACTCTCTTTTGTTTAGCTTTGTTCTTCTTGTGGACTTCAGTGGCTGGTTTGCTTTCTCCTAAAGGTGTCAACTATGAAGGTGACTGACTAGGGGCACTTCCCTTATTTCTTGGAGCACATATATGTGAGGTTACTCACAAGTCCTAATAAATGCTTGTTTTACGTGCAGTTCAAGCTCTGATGAGCATTAAGAATTCACTGGTGGATCCTCATTCTGTCTTGAATAATTGGGATTCTGATGCTGTGGATCCTTGCAACTGGGCTATGGTCACTTGTTCCCCTGATCATTTTGTGATTTCCCTGTAAGTCAAACTGGAACAAACCAAACCATAACAAGAAATATTCAATTTTCACTCTTTTACATCTTAAGAGTCTCCTTATTTCATCCTTTTCTTTTCAGGGGGATTCCAAGCCAAAGAATATCTGGCACACTCTCATCAAGCATAGGCAACTTAACAAACCTCCAGACTGTGTGAGTAACCTGCTATGTGTTAAAAGAAAGCATTGGAGGATTTTAGATTTGTTTTTTTTAAGGATATTTTATTAGTTATTAGGCATTTTGCAGGCTCCTGCAGGATAATAATATAACAGGACCAATTCCCTCTGAGATTGGAAGGCTTCAAAAGCTTCAAACTCTTGATCTTTCTGACAATTTCTTCATTAGTCAACTTCCAGATTCTCTTTCCCACATGAAGGGTCTCAATTATTTGTAAGTTCAAGAATAGAATGCTATGCATCCTTTTTAAAGGCTTTATAGAAAAATGTGTGTTAATTCCCTATCAAGAATATGATGATAGGAATTTGAATTTCAATCAGGCGGCTAAACAATAACAGTCTCACTGGACCAATTCCTTCCTCTTTGGCTAACATGACTCAGCTTGCCTTTCTGTAAGTCTCTTATGACCTTTTATTACAGATATATAACTTTACTCCTTTGTTAACTTGATTTCTGATCAACTGTTTGTCTTCTACTGAATTTTGCTTAGGGATATCTCTTATAATAACTTGAGTGGACCTGTACCAAGATTAAATGCAAAAACATTCAAGTAAGATGTTTGGTCTTTATTTTATTGGTTTTTCTCCTTCAATATTTTCTCTGTTTTCCTCATGCGAGTTAAAAAATAGAAATTTTGTTTACATGTTATTAATTAATTGTATGCTTTTCCTTCTCTTGAAATAGTATTGTAGGCAACCCTCAGATATGTGCCCCTGGAGCTGAGCAGAACTGCTTCAGAACAACATTAATTCCATCTACTCCGAATAACTCTCAAGGTAATCATAGTTCTTACATGTTGTAGATTTGTTTATGCTTCTCCATCCTCATGATGTTGCATCTAAAGTTTTCTTCTTATCTGTCATAAAGTGGTCTTAGTCCAAACTTGTGTCCAAAACTACTGTTTTGGGGTGCAAAAGTATTTCATAAAAAACTGTTCAAAACTATCAATTTCTAAGTTGTCTTAACATATTTATAATCATTGCTTCCATCATTCTCAACCCTTGTATGTGTTTCTTTCTTTTCTGTATGCAATTACCTTCATACCCTAACACAGCTTCCTGAAATGCTTTTCAAGATGCACAATCCACCAAAAGACCAAAGAGTCACAAAGTTGCTTTGGCGTTTGCTTCAAGCTTAAGCTGCATATGCCTACTAATTCTGGGACTTGGCTTCCTCATCTGGTGGAGACAAAGATATAACAAGCAAATATTCTTTGATGTCAATGGTTAGTTAATCACAAACAGAAGCATATACCGCAAACTTAGTAGGCTCATCATATTACTTACTCTTCTCTGTTTTAACTTAACTTTTTCCATTTTCAGAACAACACCGTGAAGAGGTTTGCCTTGGAAACCTCAAGAAGTTTCACTTCAGAGAACTTCAGCTTGCTACAAACAACTTCAGCAGCAAGAACTTGGTTGGGAAAGGTGGTTTTGGAAATGTCTACAAAGGGTATCTCCAAGATGGTTCTGTTATAGCAGTTAAGAGGCTTAAAGATGGTAATGCCATTGGAGGTGAGATCCAATTCCAGACTGAAGTTGAGATGATCAGCTTAGCCGTCCATCGGAATCTTCTTCGCCTGTATGGATTCTGCATGACAGCTACAGAGAGGCTCTTGGTTTATCCTTACATGTCAAATGGAAGTGTTGCTACTCGTCTTAAAGGTAATGACAAATTTGTACTGCTAGATAACAGTTACTGTATATGTAGTGTTTAACATTCAATTTGGTTCTTCAAATATGCTAACTGGTGTTACTTTAGTATTTGAAAGTGCATGTTTATACAAATTGATCATCCAAAGTGTTAACTTTCTAACAAGTTAGTCCAACTGAGTTGAGAACTTGTAAACAATTATATATTTCGAAGGACTAATTTGTATAAACAAAACTTTCAGGGACCAAAACAACACAAGCCGTCACTTTCTAGAACCAATTGAATATTAACTAGCATATGTATCTGTGATAAATGTTAGTAACACACTCTAACACACTATTTCAAACACACTCATTATTTGTTGAAATTTATTGAAAATCATAAAATTGTGTTGATAAGTAGCACTCCTCGTTTAATGATCCTCCACTCATGATTTTATAGTTTCCAATAAATTTTAACCCAGTACAGAATGTGTAGGGAGAACTGAATTGGAGAGTGTGTAGCTAGCACTCCTCTTTATCTATTATTCTTGGGTCTACTATCACACATGAAACGTTTCATGCGCATCTCAACTTGGATTTTAAATTCCATAAAACAAAGTATAAGAACTGTTTTGAGCTTCCAAACATACAATATGATTTATAAATTATGGGTATTCATTTACCTTTTGATGATACAGTCAAACCAGCTTTGGACTGGCCTACTAGGAAGAGAATAGCTTTAGGAGCTGGAAGAGGGTTGCTATATTTGCATGAGCAGTGTGATCCAAAGATTATTCACAGGGATGTGAAGGCCGCAAATATCTTGCTTGATGATGACTGTGAGGCTGTGGTAGGAGATTTTGGGTTGGCAAAGCTGTTAGACCACAGGGATTCACATGTGACAACAGCAGTGAGAGGCACTGTGGGACACATTGCCCCTGAGTATCTCTCTACAGGCCAATCTTCTGAGAAAACAGATGTGTTTGGGTTTGGAATTCTTCTTCTTGAACTGATATCTGGCCAAAGAGCTCTTGAGTTTGGGAAAGCAGCAAACCAGAAAGGAGTCATGCTAGACTGGGTGAGCCAACCAGAATTAGTCTTTTTAGCATTTCATTTTTTTCTTTATGGCTTAGTATAAAATGGTGAATTTTAATTTTAAATATTTGTGTTGATTTTGATCCTTATATATTTTTAAGGTTTTAAAACCGATCTCTATGCATCATTTATTCATGACCCTGAACATGACATCATGTCCCAGGCCATCAATGAATTATGATAGAAATCAATTTGAAAAGAAAATATGAACACCAAAACTAACAGAAAAAAAACTAAGACACATAAAAATTTATCATATTTATGAAAACTAAAAACATATTTAGGACTTATTTGAGTAAATTTCTCCGGAAGCACTTCTAGAAGAGTAAATCAGGAAGGAAAAATGAAATAAGTTTCTTTATACGTTAAAATTAACTTATGTATAAGCTAATTTGTAGAAACATTTTTCTATTAACTTCTTCAAAATCATATTTTTAACTAGTGTGTAAGCTTATTAGTTTTATTTTATGGAGAAACTTATTTTGATTTTTCGTCTTTTTTTTTTCTTCTTTTTATTTTTTTTCAAGAAGTGCTTATGAAGAAACTTATTCAAACAGGCCCTTAACTCTCTATATTTATCCATTTTTATTACTTGTTTACTAATGAAAGGTTTCACGTAAACTCATGGAAATAAGCTCTTGTTAACTTATTTCAACAAATTTCACAGTCAATCTTTATGAGTAAGCTCTCATGTGACATGTCCTAAATGTAATCACCATCACTATACTTGCAGGTGAAGAAAATCCACCAAGAGAAGAAAATAGACTTGTTAGTTGACAAGGACCTGAAAAACAACTATGATAGGATTGAGCTTGATGAAATAGTCCAAGTGGCTCTTCTATGTACTCAGTACCTTCCAAGCCACAGACCCAAGATGTCTGAAGTGGTTAGGATGCTTGAAGGAGATGGGCTTGCAGAGAAATGGGAAGCCTCACAGAGAGCTGAATCAACAAGAAGTAGAGGAAATGAACTCTCCTCATCAGAGCGCTACTCTGATCTCACAGATGACTCTTCATTGCTTGCCCAAGCAATGGAACTTTCTGGACCAAGATGATTCAAAAAAGTCACTGTGACATTGTGAAGAGTGTAAGAAAGTGAAAGTTTCTTCTAGTGCAAGTGAATTTGATGTAACATTAGCATCATAGTAGCATATCTCAAAGAGTGATGCTAGTTTCTGACTGTACAGAATCTGATTGGAGACATTGACGTATAGATTGAGTGTTTATGTGTTTTTCTTAATAGTTGGAGCGAAGATTTTTGTGGAAAATTAATGTCCTTCTGGCTCCTTCAACTTGTTAGAAGAATAACGTTCATATAAATAGATTGTACTTAAACTGTCAATAATATAGTATTTTGAGACTTGAGAGATTTCATCTATGATCCGTTGCTTATTTTTCTTCTGTTTTCTGCTTTACATTCTAACAGGTTTTCAGTGCATGGTGAGGCATATAATTCATTGTGTAACATAAATTTAAAGAGTTTTTTTAAAGAGTATACGGCTAACGTTTCTTATATTATTTTAAAATTTAATTATTCTTTGGTGCTCATATTTTTATAAATTCTATTTTTGAGTAATTTTTATATATTATTTTTGTTTGTTTTTAGTCACCATCATCTACTATTGGACCAAAATGATAATGAAACCTTATTTTAAGAGCAATACCAAGGTGTTATTTTATTGGTTAACACCTTAAAACTCATTACTTACACTGGTAATATTATCGTAATTAAACTTTGTCTAAACTAAAAATAAGTATATGCCACAATGACTGTAACATGAATTGTGATCCCCCCAATGATAGTGGCTCTGAGATTGGGACGCTCCAAAAGCTTCAAACTTTTGATCTTTCTGACAATTTCTTCATTGGACAACTTCCATACTCCTTTTCTCATATGAAGGGTCTCCATTTTATGTAAGTTGAAGAATGCTATAAATTCCTGTACACAATTTGGTATTGAGACAAGATGCTTTAAAACAGCAATGATTTCTTCTGTCATGAATAATTCTAACGGTAATCGTAGTTCATACAGTTTGCAGATGTTGAAGAATCTTACATGATTAATAGAGCATGAATGATGGCTTATAAACTTGGATGGACCAACATTTTTCCGCTAGCTTTTGGATCAATGGTTACAATTCAACAATATTTTGCTTCTAAATTCTAATGTATTTCTTTGTAACACTCATGCAATGATTTTATTTCTATTTCAAGATCATGGCATGTGCACTTCACTTCTAAGTTCAACATATTTTTGGATGCAAATTTGTTTCTTAAATATATAATGCTCGAAATGGACAAAGGTCCTCTCCGTTTATGGTTTTGGGAAGACAAATGATACTCTCCATTAAATGTGTATCATCTCCTTTTCATTTATTTATTAAAAAACTTAGTAATGAAATAAATGGAAGAAAAAAGAAATGAGAGGATCTCCATTTGAAATGCTTTCTATCAATTATACCACAATATACTATATCATCTCTTTTGCTTGAAATGTTTCTCAAGATTTAGTTTGTGTTTGGTTTACCATTTGCAATGTGTCAAATAGACATTCACTCATTCCAATGCTAAAAATGGGAGAAACGTCTCTTTTGTCTTCCCAGAGTGAACATTGGTTACGATCAACAAAACTTTTTTCAAACACGCCTTTATAGTCCTCGACTAGGCAGAAAAGTCACAGATATTTGTGTTTGCTTCAAGCCTAAGCTGCATCTACTTAGTAACTCTGGGGATTGGTTTCTTCCTTTGGTGGAAACATAGTTGTAATTCCCTTGGCTAGTGAATCATACACTTGAGCATAGTCCTACAAGGTACTTGTTGGACATCATTAATTTCCTCTTTGTAATTCCCTTTTACAAAACTTTAAATACTACATGAAAACGTAACAATGAGCAATTCGGTAACCAATGTTCTTTTCATGATTATTAACAAATTTCAATTAATAAGAGTGTAAAAAAATGTATCTTTCTTAATATAGATCACATGTATTTTCTACTAAAAACAATCTTGTTCGAATCAAGTACGATCATTGTGAAAGTTCTCTTTTCAAATACTTAACATAAATGTATATTTAGAACTCGAATTTGAAAATACAAATTAATTGAAGCAATATGATATCAGTTGATACACGTATTCGTTAAGAAAGTAACTATTGATTAACTCTTTAAATCTCTCATATCTACAGGGTGCATAACTTAAAATAAAAATACTTGATTAAATTTACACAATACTTTTTGACACAGACAAGCTTATTCTGTGGTCTGTACTGCCCTGGAAGGAATAGGACATCTTTAGGAGGTGCAAGAGGCTTGCTATATTTGCATGATCCTTAGGATGGGATGTGGAGGCTACAAATATCTTACTTGATGATTATTGTGAGGTTGATTGGTGAATTTGGGTCGGTAAAGCTGTTGGATCCCATGGTCTCGCACGTGTCAAAAGTAAGTGAGGGGCACCATAGGCATATAGCATATAGCCCCATAATGTTATTTTACAGGCCAGTCCTCTGGGAAAACACATGTTTGCATTTGGAATCTTTCTACTTTAATTAATTTATTGCCAAAACAACTCTTTGTTTAGAAAAAGAAGGAAACCATGAAGATTCCACAATGGCATTGGGATCCACAGAGAACTGAATCAATGAGTGGCAGAGGTAGAAAACTCTCTACCTGAGTGCTATTATTATGATCTTACTGAAGTAATAGAGCTTTGACAGTAACCAACCTGTAATTTTTTAAGAAGCAAGAATTGATTTACAGAAGGAGAAAAAAAAAATCATATCAAATACATCAAGAATTTCACCAGCCAAAGGCATGAGCAGATATTAACTCGAAATTGGGGTACACTGAATTGCCGACTTTGTGCTAGTATTAGCATTCTTATATTAAGCTAAATTAAGGTGTATTGCATAAACCATTAAATGATTCGAGAATGTGTTAAAAAAATATTTCAAAATTAGAAATAATCGATTATAATTAAATTAAATTTTTATTTGAATTAGCTTCTGAAAAACGATTATAAAATATTTAATTCAATTTAGATACAATAACAAAAAAATCGACTTTTCATAGTAAAACAGTTTTAGAAGAAAAAAGACGGTCAAAAAATAATAAGCGTCAATTTTCAAATACACGAAAACAACTTATTTTTTAGGAAAAAAATTATTTACATATTTCAATTGTTGTCTGAAACATATAATTTCTTCTTCTTTTTTCTTGCAAACAGCTTTTTTACTAAAAAAAAACAGCTGAAATGGTGAGAAATAATTGTTTCCAGACATGCTCTAAGAGCTCAAATTTTTTCCAGGTGGAATAAGCTTCTAAAACAATCACCAGGGCAAAATAATAGTAGCCATTTAAACTTTTTTGATATAAGCCTAAAAGTGCTTTTGAGAACTTTTTTTATTGTAAATAACTTTTAATTTCTAGTTAAAAAACTCTTAAAAGTGTTTTTATCTTGTAACCAAACAAGTTAAAACTACTGCTCAAATTTATCCAAACAAACTCTAAAGAAATAGTAACTAGCTATATGCGATCATTAATGAGTTATATGTTTTAACTTCCCAAATGCTAACTTAGGTTTTCTTTTAAGTAAAATGGACTCACAACTTGTAAGCCACACAAATCTTCAATCCATCTAATATAAAATTCCTACTTTCACTAGAGAATTTACAAGTTTTCTCATTGGTAAAAGTTGCATTTTAAAAGGTTATGCATAAACCAAGGAGAATTAACATTGGAAATGGTACAAAAGAATGCATTTTATGACACAGTACACAATTTCACTCACGGTAGAAAACAACTTCTGCTTGAGTAGAAGCTCTTCGACATTTCACCAATTCCATCAACATTCTCAAATTATTCTCCATATCAAATACACAAGGAATGATATTCAACGTCTCAAGCACAGGAGAACGACCGAGCAAATATTTCATAAATTCTATCTCATGTGGCCAACCACCCATTTCTGACAACTTCACAGTTTTAAGCTTGTTAAGTGTAGTATCTGAAAGGCATTCTTTTTCCCAAAAATCCAAGTCAGGGAAATCGGCAGCAACTGCTATGTTTGATGAACCCTGCCAAAGTCAATTGCATAAAAAATCTTATTATGTAATTACAGGCCTGATTTGTAAAATTAATTCACTTTGTAAAAACTGAAAATCTCTACTTTTGCAATGAGTTAAGACTGAGCACTTACTGAAATTTGTAGTTCTTTTAGATTAGGAGAGCTTGTAATCAAATGAAGGATGACAAGTATCTCCTTTGTATCCTCAAAATTTACTTGATATAATTCAATAGTCTCCAAATTGTTGTACATTATTGGAAGATGCACCGAGTCAATACCTATGCTCAAATACTTCAAGAAAGTGAAGAAATGAACAAAATAAATAAGTTGGCCATACATATTATCCTTTGAGGATGAACTAACACAATAAACAGATGAGAACAAAATGTTACCTTTGTGAAGTAGATAAGCCCAACAAGCTTCTCAAGATTAGGGACTCCACCAAGAAACTTGACAAAGTTGCAATTTGAGCTTTGCTCAAAGTGCTCAGCAATGTCATCAGTCATATACATAGCAATGGATATTTCAACCAAAAATGGAGCATCTTCAAGATATATATCCTTGAATTCACCTTCAAGATACAAGTGCTTAAGATTCGGGGCACGGATAGTAAGAGCCAAATTATCAAAGTAAGACACTGACAAACTCTCCAAGAGAGGGCATTTCGAAATGAGGCTCTCCACTGCATCAGGGGATATCAAAACTTGATGAAGGCCAAGGCTCCTCAAGCACATGAACCCCTTGAAACAAAGGGGCGGATCCAACTCACACCGGGAGAGCTCCAACCGCCTCAACTTCCTACAATTGAAAAGGCTTGAAGGTATTCTAAAGAACTCTCCATCTCCCAACTCCATAACCAACTCCTTGATATCATTCCTCGAGAGGTAAAGGATCCACTGATCAATCTCAGGACAGCTCTGCAACTTCGAATTCGTGATTTGGAACTTATGGATTGGCCCTTGGTGAAGAAACAACACCCTGGTTATGAACTTGGCAACACTTCTCCCCACAACCTCTCTGTCACAACTAAAGGGCGCACATTTGTCATCAAACACAAGTTGAGTAATTGAAGACCACTTGTACCTCCATTTACTAGACAAAATGCTGGTTCTCACAGCATCCCTAATTGGAATCTTCATCAGAATGCTCTCTATAATGCTTTGAGGAAGGTCACTGATCAAGTCAGGACCCATCACATCACCCATTCCTATGCTTCACCTAATTCACAACAGCATCAACAACACAAGGAACCAAAACAGAACCCCCCCCCCCCCCCCCCCCCCA